CACTGTCTGTAGATAGTGGAGAAGTTGCGTACGGTGCTGGGAGCGCAGCAGTTGGGTGCTTTGGGGAACAAAAGCATCTCCGGGGTGTTAGTGGGTGGTATCACTGCTTGACTCAAACGGGAGGTTTTGGGGTTGGAGTAGCACAGATGGGGCACAGCTATAGACCTTGCACCATGGCTCCAACAAAGCTGGCCACCAGCGAGATTGTGCCCTACCAGAAGTTTGGGATTGTCCTTTCAGAGTAAGACCCAAATACTGAAGGACTCCTAGACCCAAACACTGAAGGACTCGTAGACATGAAATGCTTCAACACTGGAACTGCTTTCACAACTGCACCCTCGGGAAAACTCCCTGTCAGCAACAACATTGGCATCCCACTGGAGTCGCTGCCCATTTTCGGTTTACTTGGTGCCCAGCCGTGGCAGGAGGTGGCCGGGGGGCCTGGGGAGGCTGACGCCTGTGTCTCCTTGTCATCTCACAGCTTCGCCTGGAGAAGCCCGTGCAGACGAGCAGTCGGTGCGCGGTGGGGTGCGCGGTGGACTGCCGGCTCTCGGCGTGGTCAGCCTGGTCGCAGTGCTCCCACACGTGTGGTGCCGGCGGTGAGTGCCCCCCTGCCCCCTTGCCCCCCTGTGCCTCAGCAATGCAGTGCGGACACGACCCCCGGTCCCAGAAGGGCTTACACAGCCCCCAAATAGGGGTACAGAGCACGGGGATTGCCCCGAGCCGCACCGCACCCTTTGGAGGTGATTTTTGGATGCTCTCGAGGTCCTGAGGTGTTGGATATTTTGAACAAAGCAGGCTACTTTCAAAGTACTTGAAAGTGAAAAAAGCAATTTAGGAAACCAAGTGGACAGGTGCCTGGGGGATTATTTTATTAATTAATTCAAACTCACAGAATTCAGTCATAGGAAACATTAACCCCAGAGACAGGAGGAGTACATAGAGCTAGCAAAGACCTGGGGAGAGTTACAGGATCCTTAAGAAATGGATAAATAGCTAAATACAAATCCTCTGGTGAAGTTGCTTTTAGTAACATAATTACATCCCATTGAAGAAAAACCACTAAGGCTATTTTTCATCATTTAGCATATGCCTGTCTCCATCTTATATCCACAGGTCCCTTAATACTTGTATGACTCCAGTAACTTCAGCGAGGTTTTCTATAGCCAGTAATGCTCACCAGCATACAAAAAGTGAAAGGTTTAGGACCTTTTTTTTAACTTTATATGATTTAAAAACCCCTTTGAGTATTGACATGAGGAAAGCTTTTATTCAAAGTAAGCTCATGACATTATTTCCCAGGCTTCTGATGTGCATTGGATATACAGCTAATGGTCTTTAAGATTCAAGAGCCATAATATATATTTGAATCAAATTCACTTAAGGTCAAAAAGAAAAAAGCTCTTAACTTCCATAAAGTGATTCCTACAGATGGATTTCGGAGATCAAAGCATGTTACAGAAAAAGCTTAATATTTGGATTAGTGGTGTTCTTTCTTTGCTGAACTTTTAGCCCTTTTGTAAAGTAGTGCTTTCTTAACAGAAATGAATAATTCATAGACAGTGTTTTAACAACAACACACTAGGAATACTATTAATTCCAAATTTTATTTTTTCTTCAAAATCCATTTTGGAGTGTTAATGCTGATGTTGCTGAACGGGCTTAAATTATTTTTTTGAGTGTTCAATCACTTACTAAAATAAACAGAGCTACGTGTGCAAAAGCAAGTTGTAACTTCTTTATGGCTTTTAGCGTGCTAAAGGAGCAGCTCATCCTATATAATGCCTGAAGGTTTTTTTGTCCTGAGCTCTTACACTGCATAGTCTGCAAAGGGATGTGCTCGAGTAAAGGTATGTCTTGTATTTTGCTCCTGATCCTGAAATGCTTATGTAAATCCTAAAGACTGGTTAAAGAGCTGATGGTTCCCAATGCATGTAAGGAGCAACCAGTTACTTCATGTCCTCAGTCAGAGCTGGGCTTCTGCAGAAGAAAACTGGAAACATCCGTGCCCTGCTGAAGCAGACCTCAGCTCTTCCTGGGAGTGTCCCGCTGTAGGTCCCAAACCTCACTAAGGCTACTTGAACCACACAATCAAGCCCAAGCTCAGCTCAGTCTATGGGTCATCTTCTGGTCCTCAAAGATCATAACTCTGTTATGCTGCTAGCCGGAGAGCTGGCTCATACAGTTCAGGACATAGACGTGTACAATTTAAAAGCTGGAGATACTGTTTTGTGAACCTACGGCAGCTAAGCAGCTGGGAAAGTCTTAAAAATTGTATTATAAGGAAGCCAAGTTTTGCTCAGTCCTCCTCTATCATTTGAACAGCTTTGCAGGAACCCAAGAGTCTTCTGAATCTCATCCCAAAGCAGGAGCGTCCATGAAAAAAGTACTTTGTACCCAAGTTATGCAGAGCACATGGTTTATTTTACTGCAGCCCCAGTCCTGGTCTGAGTTTTGCTGCAGCGATCATCAAGCATGGAGCTACGCTGATATCAAACATCCGTGATGGAGGGACCTTGGCACCAGTCCTGCAGCTGTGTCCTTTGTGTGCTTCCAACAGCAGAAACACCGTCATTTCAGCTTCTTCACTGAGTTCCAGTTGGTTATAAATACTGCTTGATGACGGTATTAACAGAGAAGACATTAATTATGTGCTCATCTACAGGTGGTACTTTACAGATGAATACAGTGAGCGTTTTCTACCTGAAGGTTCATAGACTGCAAAACCTTTGAAATCATCATGAGTTTCTCACAGGCATTTGTGAGAGTAGGATGAAGCCTCAAATTAGACACAGAAAACCAACGGATGACAATAAACGAGCTGTGGGAATTGTCTGTAGGAAACACTGATTCAGCTTCACTTTGCCAAATATGTAATTGCCCACTATTTGATAAAGCTAAAATGTAGGACTTAGAGGCACAGTTCACAGCAAATCAGTTGTATGCACCGTTACTGGCTCTGCTCACAATATTCTGCTTCTCTGGCTTTTCTTGGAGAGCGTGTGAAGGGCCTGCTGAAGTACCATAAACAACTTCAAAGAGAAACATAATTTAAATATCATTCAGAGCAAAATTTAGTGTTGCTGGATTTACGTTTTCATGTGTTTCTTAACTCAAGCATTGTTGCTAACATTTTTGTTCTGTCCATCTCTTCCAGTAATGGTTTGCTGTGATATATTTTAATGGATGGTACCTTTCTCCTGCTCAGGTTTTATTTTATGGAACAATGCGTTTAAACATGAAGTGATGCTGCTGTGTATGTGGCACTGACAGCTAATATGGTTCGGGTACACAGCAGCCAAAGGCGAATATATTGATTTTTATAAATGATGATGAGTAAAGTAGATCTCTCTTTCCTGCCTGTGCTGAGCCTACGGAGATGTGTAACTGATACTTGCCTGTTGCAGCTGTAGTTCTGGGCAGCATCTGTTCAGGATGCTGGCTAGGGCTTTAGGCTGACATCGGGTTATATATTAGGGTTCCTCATATCAGTTGCTGTACTGCTATGAAAAGATGTATAGTACTGCCTTAATGGATGATGCTCCCACGGCCTGAATCAAAGTTACTGGAAAGATGTTTGGTACGGATAATCCCAGGCAAATTGTATTTCCTTTGTTAAAGCAAATGAATACGTGAGGATGCTGAATTTTTCTACATAAACGTTTTCCAATCCTGTATGATTTCTCCCAAGTTGTCTAACAGGAGTGCTAAATAGTATAGGAACACCTAAACCCATGCTTTGCCACTTACAAAGCTGACTTCATCAGGTGAATTGTGGGACTTACCTGAGTTACCCAGGGTTGAACACGCTGCCGTGCCTTGCTCAGTCCTCGGAGCCCAGAAGAGACTGTAGCAGGTTGCAGAGACGTGTACCCCAACACCAGACTGACCTGTGGGACAGAAATGAGGGGGATGAGGATGTGCATGACTGAAAGATTTGGTGGTTACATTTTTCACTGATTCATCACCAATTTGGGAAAACATTTTTGGTTTTGCCTTCTGAAGAAGAAACTTTCGTGACTTTTTCTCGCTCGCTACTCAAACTCATTAAGCTCCGGTTGATGGTGCTGGGAGGCATTGCTGGGAGAGCGACCACCAAAACCTATCCCAGAGCTGTGGATACCCCAGTGCCCGCTGGTGGGACTGGCAGTGGGAAGTAGCTGAAAAGCCCCATTTATCACCAGTCCCCTTTTCTTTTGACTGGACCTAACCTGACCTCCAGGGTTGTATTTAAGCAACTTGATCCCTGCTTTGGTCTTGCGGTTGCTTGGTAAGGTTGTGTTTTACATGCTCTGCTCACGTTCATCAAACAGATACCAACACATCAGTAATTTTGACTGGGGTGAACTCTAGCAGGAATTTTAATCATCTTGGTTTCAGCTGCGATGCATCACTTTGTGGGGATAAAATGCAAGGAACGGCAAGATTTTTTGGGGGGGAAAAAAAAATCTTATTCTTCTGATTTGAAAATATGATCCCATGTTTCTGAGATGACATTTCAGCCGCTGATGCAAAGCAGGATTTTAAGTGACCAGCATTAAGAAGACTAGCCTCTTTTTTTCCTCCTTTCAAAACTAATGACAAATTTGAAGATACAAAGAAATGCTTATTTTCAATTTTCACCACACTTTCTGTCTTAATTTTTGTATCATTTAACACTGCAGAGCAGAGGAAACAGAGATGTTGCCAATTCACGGGGAGATTAAAGAAAAATTCATTGGGAAATTAAAGAAACGGCTAGTATTGCTTTGACTCTTCCCAAGTTTGTATTGGAAGAAAAATAATTTCAGATGCAGTGAGATTCTGTTCTCCATAGGCAGCAAAAGATAAGGTATTTAAAAAGTAAAGATGGAGAGTTTTTCTGCTACTTGAGTGGTAACCGGGCACCTAGATAATGATTATGAAGTGAAAAAAAAAAAGAAATCAGACCTTTAAGAAACTCACTGCAGTGATTGTGCAAAGAAAGATTTCAACAGAATTTCTTTCTTCAATGGTTTATTCACGGTATAAAAAGAAAGTGATAGACTAAATGAGTCAAGCACCAGCTGACCACTGTGAATGTAGTAAGTTTAAATGGTTTGGATAACCAACTGTAGGAAAATAAAATGTAAATAAATACAGAATGGTTGTTAATTCCTTTTAAAAGGAAAATAGTGATTTCTGTTCAATGGTCTTCCCATTAACATTTTGGTAAAAGATGTTAAACAGTGTACAGAAGGAAATTATTTCTTTAATTAAAATAGCTTGATGAATGCTTCAGGCTTTCAGGTCCCTCCTAATGAAATCGGATCTGTTAAGCTTAGGAGATCTCCTTTTCCGCAGCTGCTGTTTCGGGAGCCTCGTGCCTGGCGGGGCCGCAGACCTCCCTGGCCCGGGTGAGCCGCCTGCCCCAGGGCATCCTGAAAAGCCCACAGCCACGGGCTTCCCACGGCCTCCCAAAGAGCCTTGCCCATTGCTTACCAGCCCTCAGCCTTCAGAATTAAGAAGAATGTGGCAAATTTGGTCCATTGCTGGAGAGGAAGAAACAGCTAATTTTGGCCTGTTGGGCAGGGGAGGGCTGCCGTGGGGTTTGCCAGCAGCGGGCTGGGGGGTTTCTCTTCCCTTGCTCTGACCCCCTGTGAACCGCAGGAGTTTCTCACCTTTCCTTTCCTCTCAGCTGGTAGGATTTTTTTCCACCTCCTAATGTATCTGATTCCGTGATGGCTGAATGCTCAGTGATGTGGATAAGAGCTTTTATCATCACTTCTGTTACAAACTCCTCAGGTCCAGGGGATTAGAACTGGAAAAGGAAGAAGTCTTAAAATTGGTTTAAATGGGTTTAAAAATGGAATTCAATGGGTCAGAGCAAGGGAATAGCATTGTAAAGGTAAGAGAGCTTGCTAAGGTGTCTGTCAGTAGCTTTCTCAGGTGTGTCTGCTTTTAATTTTTATTTGCTAAAATGTTTGGAAATGTAAATGTATGGAAACCCTGCTCCATAGGCAGTCCCAATGACAGTTATTAGAGATGTACCTTAAACCCAGCTGCGGTACCGTTAATTAAAAAGTGCGTGCATAAATAGCTGGGAGAAGGCTCAGTCCTCCTCGCAGCCTCCCCACTTTGCAGGGGTGTTTGCTTCCCCCCCGGACTCCCCTCTACTCACGACTGCAGCTGAACGACTGTGATACAAATGGGAGTGCTCCACCACAACACATTATCTCTTTCCTTTTCAGTGAGTTAGCAATTACGGCTCGCATCTGTCTTCTTGTAGGTGTGTGCCCTTATTACCCAGACCTTTTATTTTTTTAGCTGCCTCTCAAATCCATGCCTATTGAAAGTCAAGGCAGAAATTTTATCCCCATCACCATCTTCTGCATCCTGTTGCATAAGGGCTTTTTTCCGCGCCCCCCCCCCCCTTTTCTTTTTAATTGGAGCCAAGATTCTAATTGAAACATTTTGAGTGAAAACATTCCTGGAAGTAAATGGACAGCAAAGGAGACGGAAATGGAATTGCTGTAACTTTAATGAATATATTCAGTTTTGTTATTTCAAAAGTAGTAACATAATTGCTTTTTCCATTCAGAAGCTGAAGAAGTTTTCACCAATAATAAATAGGATTTTAATGGAAATGGCAGAAGTGGTTATGGACGGTAATAGCCACTAGAGTGTTTGCGGTTTTCAAATTAGATGCACATAATTGGTCATAAAAAGAAAATTTCATTTGTTAAAAATCTCTGGAAACATATTGAATGTGTAACCTTAGAAATGGTGCTGCCACAGGAATTATTTTCTTGTCATATTTAATAATCAGGATTTAGTTAAGTATTTAAAAGTGTTGCATAAACAAATAACGTATCTGGAAAACATGCAAAACTGTGTTTAAAAACTGTGTTTGAAAATATCAGTGACTGCATCACTTAGACTTAGCAGTTGCATCCGTATTATCCAAATAGTCTTCCCAATTAATTGCTTTGTTAACAGATTTTAGCGGTGGCAAACGAACAAGGAATGCTGATAAATCACAAAGTCTGCCTTCCTTTCTTCCTCCGGGTCTCCTTCACCGTGTCCTGTCTTCTCCCCTCGCCTAGGCCAGATGGTGCGTGGGCGCTCGGTGGTCCTGCGGGCAGCGGGCGAGGGCAGACCCTGCCCGGAGCAGCTCACCCAGCACAGGAGCTGCCCGGTGAAGCCCTGCTACAGCTGGCTCCTAGGCCCGTGGTCTCCCTGCAGAGTCCAGGTAGGGCTTTCGCCAGCGCTCCCCGAGGGCTCCTCGGGTTCCCCGCAGCTGGGGTCGACGACAGAAATCATCGTGACGTGGCAGAATTGATTGAGGCCACCGTTTGCGGGTCAGAGGTGTCTCTGTGGCCATTGAAGGTGCTGGTAAGATCCGTAGGAAAGCAGGGGAAGTTCAGGAGCCGTAAACCTCTGCACCTCATCTTCCAGCCATCAGCAGCGATTTATAACAATATGGGTTCAAGTACCGCGAGCTTGTAGAGGTATTAAAGAAGATTTACAGAGTAAATGTGCTTGAGTGAGCATAGTCATGGTGACCTATAATTTAATTATATAAAATAACTCTAACAAGAAAATAGATACACTAGATTTCAAGAGAACGTAATCTTTTTTATCTTTTTTTTTCCTTTTTTTTTTTTTTAAGTACTGTATAGCAGGTCTTTCCCCACAAGGTCTCTGGTACAACAGTGTGAGTTATTGTATGAAGTGCTGGTTTCTACTTTCTCCTTAGCCCATCTATCTTTTTAATGATCTAAAAATGGCTGGATTCAGTTGTGATGTGCCATACGTATGGTCGGCACCTCTGTATTGCTGTCATTTTCTCACTGCCAGTGACTTGCATCAGGCTTCAATTGATTCCCCCCGCCCCCCATACTTTTTTTTCTCTCCTTATCTGTTAGATCATGTTTCCAATATTAAAATATATTAGTTGATAACGTAGTTTAAGCAGAGGTGAACCTTTCACATTGAGGTTTCTCAGACGGAGTGAAGTCCACTCGTGCTGCTTAAAGCCGGCTTTGCGGAGGTGCAGGTGGGAGAAGTGTGGTTGGGGTGGAAAAGTGCCCTGTCTGGTCCCAGGGGACAAGACCTCTGCGTGGATCTGTGGCTGCTTCTCCACATTGTACCATGTAGGGGATTGAAGCCAATAATGCTCGTCCCTCGTGTTTTCTGCTCTGCCCTCTACCATGCTGCAAATGCTTTGAACACCGACTCGGTTTCTAGATGCAGTAGATAGACCTGTAGTGAATACTGCAGGTGGCAGAATAGATACCCAGAATTGTCCCAGGTTTTTACAAATGAAATCTGGAGTGTGACAGTCTTTGGACAGTCCAAGACCAGAGAAACAGAAATATATTTATATTTTATATAATGAACAACAACTCATTGCAGCTAGGGATGTGAATATGGTCCTTGTATGTACTGCACTCAGTATTTATTTATGTATAACATAACGAAATTATAACATCAGCTGATGTTTTGTCCAGCTAACATAAGCAAATTCTGGTAAACATTATGGAAGAGACCTTCAACCGTAGGAGCTAACACACCTGATAAAAGAATTAGTAGGGAAGGTGAATTAATGCCCTGGCACACTCCGGATAAATAACACATCATACAGATTAAAAGTGTGCACATCCAGAACCCAGCTAAATTTCAGCTCAGAGCAAGTAATCACAGCCTTCTCTAACCCAGATATCATCCTGCACATTCAGTGAGATAGAGCCTGCTTCTCTCCTTACATTACTGCGATGTAGTTTCTCTACCCTTTGCTTTGTTTTGGAGAGGAACCATTTTATTCATGTTCACTTCTCTTTAATGAGGTGCTTAGGAATTAAATGTAGTTCATAAATACAGGGTGATTTATTCCTGTGCTTTACTGGAAAAGAAGTTTAAGCTTACTTTCTATAGAAAGCTTTTGGAAGTCCTGTTTTCAAGGATGCTTTGTAAAATAAGGTCAATGCATCCTATGGTAAGACCAAAATGCATATTGTGAAAGTGTCTTCCTGTAATAACATAAACGGGACCATTAATTATAAGGCTAAAATATTTTTTCCTTGTATTATGAGATAACTGAGACTACATTTCTTAATTGTAGAAGGACTATTTTATGCTAAATTGACTCCATGTGAATAATTAGAGGTGTCTGCATGTTTAAGAATAGAGCCTGCTAAGTGTTCTGTATTGCTGATTTTCGCAGTATGGAAATCTGTGCATTGCTCTCCAGGTAATTACACATGTCACAGGCACACCTCCAGCAGGTGTGGGGCATTTTTGCTGCATTCAGAGGGATGCAGAACTTGGGAAATGGTCAATACGCCTAATCTTAAAGGGTTACATTGCATTAATCATTTTCCTACTGGAGTTGAAGTGGTTTACCCTGATTAGCTTAAAAAAAAAAAAAATTAGCAGTGGCTGACACTGTTCATAATTTTTCCATTAAAGGAGTGTAAGTGAAGTAGCTAGACATTATCAAGCACTAGCTGCCTAACATTCATAAGAAGACTAAGAACCCTTCCTTTCTAATGTGTTTTAAAAGTAATCCCTTAAATGTGATCGTGCAACGCTTCCTCATTAGAGAAAACTTTGACCTGATTAAATGATCATCAACCTGTGAAAGCACTGCCCAATCAACTCTTTACCTAAAATAATTGTGAACACACATGAACCCCAGTAAAAGCTGAAAGGGAGAAACTTTTCTTAAAGGCACCTCTGGGCAAAGCATCCATCTCATTAGGACTGTTATCTCTTGTCTTATTAGTGTGTTATATGTTGAAAGTATCAGAGGGTGACGTGAGAGAGGCTGCCAAAACACAGTCCTGGTGTAAACCTTCTCCTTATTTTACTGGTGGTCAGTTGGGGCGAGGGGGGTTAGAGGCGGAGACTCTGTGCAGGCGCTCCTGGAGGCTGTATTTAGGGGATCCAGGGTGGGTTCTGCATCCTCCATAGGGTCAGTGTAGAAATTTTTGCAGCCAAATACGGAGGATCCCCTCTGGAAGTCGAATTGACACGTATTTCCTGCCAGGAGCTCATCACTCAAGAGGCAAATAGTGGTTCTAGGCAAACCTCAGGTGATCACATCTTCCAAGGAAGAGCATTTACAACACAAATTTGATCCCCCGAGTTTTGAATATGTGATCATCTCCTTGGCAGTTCTCTTCTGATTAGCAGCTACTCCCCGCATCCTCAGTGTGCCATTACTGCAGCAAACTTCCACTGATTCCACACCTATTAATTAGATCTTCAAATGTATAATTTTCGGGACATGAATAATGTTTAAGACTATAAGGAATTCAATGCGGTGCTCCTGCATTGCTTATGACCTTGCCAAATATACCAAAAAACATCTCCCTCTATAAATGACAAGATGACCTTTTATCTTTCAAGTGTGTTCAATTGATTGTAAAAACACACTGCTGGTCTTGAAAGAAAGCGAGCGAATGGAAGCCACTGTTAAAAAGCGAACCTTTATCTTTGGAATTGTTTGAGAGTCCATGGTTTCTATTTATTTTTTATTCTACACATTGGAAAACATGAATGTATTTCCAATATTGCATGGCAGAAGAATGAAGAATGTTGTATGTGGACATTTATAGTGGAGACTGCTGTACCAAAAAAAATTTTTCCCCACCCCTACTATTTATATCTTGGTATTCATGTAACTATTTAAATATTCATATGCATATAAATACCTATATATTGTTTATACAAGAATATCTGTTTAAAAATTTTTTTCATCCTTTCCAGTAATCTTTAGGCATTCCCTGAGCCACTTTGAGCTGGAAAAATATGCTGCAGTTTGATTAGTGCCCATTTCCCCCAGAATTTTCTCCACGTCGTCTTCTGTTTCCACCAGCCATTTCTAAGAGCTCTAACCCAACTGACAGCTGCATGAGTTATTCACACACCATTAATCTCAGACCGCAATAGAGGTTTTGGTGGTGAAAGAGTAATTTAGAACAGTAAGTTACATACTGACTAAAGTGAAACACGGTGTTAAAAACTTGAAATCTGGCTGCATATAGTAAATCTACACTATGCTTCTCTAAGATGCTTTTGATTAGCAACTGGTCTAAATCCAGCTAGTTGTGCTCTTATTTCCATTTCATTGCGGGTCTGCAGCAGAAGGGATGGAGAGAATGAAAAAGCTGCCAGGTGTATGCAGGAGAGCCGTTCCTGCTAGCAAACCCACTGCTGAATGAATGCACTTGGTAGGAGCCATTCTGTTCTGCAGATGAAGTGCATTATTTTAAAAGAATCCACTGCCAAGTGATCCAAAGAAGCACTTCCCTTGGTTATATAAAAGCAATGTTTCATCCTTCATCCTGAGTTTTATTTACTGAATTTTGTAAAGTGCCATTTCCACAAGGCTTCAGGCGCACGTTCATAAAGCATCACGCAGGGTTGAGGTGTGCACCTCAAACATCATTGCAGCTCTGTTTTTCAGATAAGAATGAAACAATTCCAGCCTCTAGAAATAGCCTCAGTGCTTCAGCTTTTACAATGTTCTCAGCCCTTGATCACCGCTTTAGCGAAACAATATTGATTTTCCAGTAAAGGAAGTCTTCTTCAGCAAGTAGTTTGGTGTATGACTAAATATTTCAGAACTGGGCTGACGGGCGTGAAGTGGCTGGCATGGAGCCTCCTATTGCTTGTTCAAATGGGGTTCAGTGCTAACAGGCGGTGCCTGACTTTGGGTGATGGTTTGGTAGAGTATGTGACACGAGTCGGTGATCTCTGTCCACTGCAGAACCAATAGCTCTCTTTAAGAAATTACACAAACAGCCTAGCGCACAGTAATCCTGGCAGTCTAATTAAGCATGCTGGAGGATTTTTGCTGTTGCAGGGTTTAAACCATGTAATTGCTCCTATTGGGCTGTATCATCAAAGGAGGTCCGTGGAAATATCCATTCCTTATGCAGGCTCTGCTCTTGGCCTCTTTAGAGAAGCCAAAAATTTCTGTGTTCATGTAACCGGGCATTTTTTAAGAATCAGTAAATTCACTAGCTCTAGTTAAAGGCATGAAGGGCTGACCCCAAAGACAGTATTCATCTTTTATGGTACCCACCACTTCTCCTGCTTTGGTTAAGACACACTTTTCTGTGTGGCTCTGCCCCTACCTCTGAGCTTCTGTAGAGATGTGTACAGAGGAGATCTCCATCTGTCTGCCCATAACTAGGGATACGATTGCAGTCCTAAGACCAAATTTGTATCTTTGAAGTCTTTTTAGGTGGAATTAACTATATTTCTTCTGTCATCTGCTAACGTCAGTGATGTGTGTCTCTGTTCTTTTCTGTCATTTTGTAGGGTGGACAGTGTGGAGATGGATTGCAAGTCCGCAACCTCACGTGTGTGGTGCATGATGCATCTGTTTCTGTTACATCCAAACCAGTAGAAAATGCATTGTGTGGTGACCTGCCATCGAAAGAGAGTGTGCTGCAGTTACCTTGCTCTGTGCCTTGCCCAGGTAAAGTCTTTGGAAAGTCACAGTGTATTTCTGCCTGTGATAGCTGTCTGAGCCACAGATTCTTCCATAGCTCTGAGTACTGTCAGCTGCCATAGTAAGATTTTGTACTTCAGCACATCAGGTAAATCCTCCATCTGCTGTTTCTAGATCACCTGAAAAAGGGGTTTTTTTTGGTTTTGGTTTGTTTGGGGTTTTTTTTTTTGAGAAAATGAGATTCCCCATAAAGCAGAAAATCTGAATAATGCCTACCACTGAGGGATAAACTGGGGGTATTTCACTATTACAGCTGTTGTATGCTTAGGTTGTCCTTATCCTTCAAGGCTGATTCCTTTTGAAAACCCGTGATTTATTCTTCCGATGTGCAGGTGACTGCCACCTGACAGAGTGGTCAGAGTGGAGCTCCTGTGAGCTCACCTGCATCAATGGCAGGAGCTTCGAGACAACAGGGCGCCAGTCCCGATCCAGGGCATTTATCGTTCAGTCTCCTGAGAACCAGGAGAGCTGCTCCGGACAAGTGATGGAAACACGGCCTTGCTCAGGTAGTGTGGCCACAATGCTGCTTCTTCCCATTCAAGAGTTTATTCTGGTTTTGTTGCAAGGGGAAGACTAACTGGTATTGATAATTGCAGGAGGGAAGTGTTACGACTACCTGTGGAAAACCAGCCTTTGGCGAGACAATGTACGCACGGTGTGGTGTCAGCGCTCAGATGGAATAAACGTCACAGGTATATCCAAAAATTGCCATGCACAGCTATGAATGGAAGTCTCCATCCAGGTTTTTCTTCTTCTGCATCAGTTGCTTAGAGGGCAGTTGGAAAGCTTTCCTAATTCCTCCAGAATTTCAGTTCAGATTTGTGTGTAGGAAAGACAGATGGGAGCTCGTCAGCCTTGCTGTCAGGTCAGCATCACACATGCCATTACAGGAGAGTATTTGGGTGAGTTAACCCTACTGTTGGGTTGGTCACAGGAAGAAATAAGTGTACATGTACTAAATGGGCTTCCTGGGCTGGCTTGCACAGCCGTTAGTGCAACCTTCCTGTAACTGTGGAGAACAGAAGAGAACATCACACGTGTGGTAGAGAGCCCAGCTTCTCTACTTCTTCTATTCAACACACAGGAATCTCAAATCTGCTGTTGCTGTGACCTACAAATTCTGCCTGCGCAGGATGAAAAGGGAAATTCATGGTCAGCACTTTGAAGCTCCGCAAGAGACTGGCAAAGGCAGTAGGGCTTGCACATCCGTGGGATCTCTCTTAATACGCACAGGGTGAATGAGGAGAGTAGAAATGAAAATGCAGATGTTCTTATCTAGTTCTATTTATAATGACTAGTTAAGATAATAACAAAAGTTTTATGTGCAAAGGTTGCCAAGTAGTTAAGAACTCATTAACATGTTTTTATTCCTATAGAAGCACAGACTTCCCCAAGTGAGGATGGGCAAAGGCGTTATGTGGATTATGTCTTCTTATGTAGATAAGACATTAATGAGGACACAGAAGATCTGCATCTAATTCCTGATTCTGTCCCCAACTTCTTATGTGGCCTGTGGCAAATTGCTTAAATCTGTATATCTCTGTTCTCCATTAACAAGATGGGTATGATAATAATTCCCTGCCTTGTTAAAGCAAATTAATTAATGCAATGCCTACAGATATTATGCTAATGTGCTCAATCAACTAGTATTTAACTATATAAAATAAGCAAGCAAGCACTTCTTACACTCCGGTGTTCCAAGTCAAAAACATTTTAAAACATACTCTTGAAGGCACTCAGTATTTTCTTTTACAGGAGGGTGCGCTCTTCGGACGAAACCTGCAGAAGTTCGGCACTGCACCCCGGCATGCAGAAAGCCGTTCTCCTACTGCACACAGGTAATTGCTCGCTGCAGAATATGGTTGAGAAATTAACACCGCATAATCTATTCAATTAGTTTGTGTATCTTAAATGCATTCCAGAACTTAGAAAATAGTTTAGTGTGTCCATGGTACCACCTCGAGGAAGTTGTGGGAATTTCAGTCTGAAAGGAAACCATGAACCGGCACAAACGAGTGATGGAGTATTTATGTGGTGTTACAATTTTGGTTTTGTTCTGTGGAGGAGTTTTGGAACCTCTTGGTTTAATTTTCATTGAATGCTATTGTACTGTCCCATAGAAAATGGACTGTAAGCTTCTATAAGAGAGTAGATGAAAGAGTATGTCCTTTCCTGCTCCTCCACAGACACGGAAAGCCCCTGTGAGCGTAGGGAAGCTGTAGCATGTGATACCACCACCCCCATACTATCTTCTGAAACAAAACCTGGAAGTGACCTTTTTTCCCAAAATCTGCAACACCAGCTGAATCTTTGAGCCACTGCCACTTCTTTGCCTCTGAGCAAACATGAGCCCAGAGGTTACAAATGTCCCTTCCTGGAGTACCGAACTCCAGAGTAAGAGCTTCCCAAAATGCCTTATCTGTGTCAGTACTGTGACGGAGTATAAAAACAAGGACCCTTAAAGTAGCCAGGAGCAGTTGGGGTTTAGATATTTATATTTTGAAAATAGCTTCCACAGCTCAGCTTCAGCTGAGTATCTGGTGGGAGGAATTACCATTGGAAACTAGCTCGTGGGCACTTGCATGTGGCTGAGAGGGTGGTCATGAGAGTGCTCAGAGCCTACAGGAACATAAAAATGATGGGTAAGCATGAATTTATTAGCTATAAAAACTCTTGAGACTTCACCTTTTGTCCCAAAAAGCTCAGGATCATGTCTGTCAACAAGTTGGGGATGTTGTGGCAACAAAACTGATGTCAAGAGTTAAATTCTTATCACAGAGTTTGTAAATCAATCGCCTGTTTGGCTCGTAACTGAGGGTATTGGACCCTCAGACATGAATTATAATTATAAGATAATTAGCAAAGAAGAATCTAAAAAAGCTGTTTTAAAGTAGAAATACAGAAAATGGAGTATCTATTTAGCAAACCACAGACTAATAAGAAACGTTGTGAAGAAACTGCTTAGACTGATCCAGGACAGTGGATATTTGGCCGTAAGAAAGAAAGCTTCGTTTCAGATAGCCCTGTGAAACACCGGAGTGGAAATACATTGGGAGGGTCTGGGTCTGAGGTGGGGTTGTTTCTTGTTCGTCTCTTCTAATTCCCAGCAGGGTCAGTGGGAAAATTGTTATTGAGGAGTTTGGATCAAGCTACAGATGCCTGTTATTAAGCCTGTTGGGATGAAAATGTTTGTATGTTGGGCTTCTCCATAATTACTGACTCTTTTTCAACCAATTCCCCAAATATATTTTTGCTTTTTGAACTGAAACGGGTTTGCAGGCACCGTTTCCTGGCTTGTTTGGTTTGGTGGTGGTGAAGTTGCACATGCAGGATATACCTGGCAGTTTCTTCATAGCTTGCCTACAATTTGCACTGTTCTGCAAGAGGATACTGTTTGGTTTAATGCTGAATTCCCTTTTGTCGCCTAGAGAGGAGTCTGCGGTTGTGAGCGAGGATATACAGAAATAATGAGATCAAATGGTCTCCTGGATTACTGCATGAAGGTACCAGGTTTAGAAGATAAGAAAGCTGATGTTAAGACCATTGCTGGAAAAAATAAACCTGTCAACTCAAAAATGCATGACATTTTCAAAGGATGGTCTATTCAACCTTTTAATCCAGGTGAAAAACTTAAATATGAATGGAATAAATTGTCTTTACAACATTTCTGTAGAAGAAAGGTACAAGCTTTGTAAATCATAACATCAGAGATTGTGGCTGGGAGCTGCAGAGCAGCCTCCCAGTTTCTAACTCGCATGCCATCTTTCATTCTTTTGTGCCTGTACCAAGTAATCACAATCTCTTATGTTGAGAGATAGCAAAGACAGAATGAAGCAATAATGTTTTGCAAAAGTATATGTGATTTGGGGGCATGCTTAGAACTATTATCTGATGATGTTTCTAGAAGTAATATGTTTGGACCAAGGAAGATATTGATCACTAGCGCTTCAGAAGATTCCGAGCAGAAAGTACTTAAGATTTCATTAAAGAAAACATTCGTTGTGTCTTGCCATATTTCAAAAGCATGTGAAAAAAACAAGGTAGAAAGTGTAGAGTTTAGAGTTTTAGGTGTTGAAGTTAAGACATTAAAAAATGCCCCACAAAAAGCAGGCAAGCTGCTGTGCCCAAGCAGTGCATCCCAAGCGGATCTTTGACGTCCACACCATAAAGTGCTTCAAAGTTGGAACCGTGTACTGGATGTGCCCAGACTGGTCCACAGGACTGGTGCTGTAGCTGTAATAGCTCATTACCATTTGGACTGTTATTTTGCGAGATGAATTTATTCAAAATAAATTTCTAAAATGCAAATAGGCCTTTAAAATGGGAGACAAAGGTGTCAGGCGCATCAAGCTTTACTGAAGTGCATTAGTTCCCCCCATATTCTAAAATACTAGCAGTGCCGTCTTCCCCCTCTTCTGTTACTTGCCATTGCATTTGTTTCCTATTAGTTTGTAATGAACACGAGACTTTAGAAAACACGTAACGAAAGGTTCTGTTACACGGGATTCGGGGAGCCATAATTCTGTCTGATATATGTGATCACACTTTGAATGTTACATTTACATATTTGATTTGCATACAGTAGTTAACCTTTGCGTTGACAGTCTCCGAGCTCATAGAACTCGGTCCAAAGCCTTTTGAAGTTGGCTGGTTTTCGATCAAACCCATCATCCAGAAGCCCACGCAGTTCACCAGCAGTTTGAGTCACAGGTTTGGGGTTAATTGCCTTTTTGTCAGCATGCGTGGCCCTCTGTAGGCTGTCTTACTTAGGTGTCATCTCTTCAGCTGGTACCTTTATGGGGTTAGAAAAAGGGAGAGAGGTGTAGGTGGATGCTGCAATCCTCTCTTTTTAAATCAGCATTCAAGGCTGCAGCCCTGAAAGCTTCTGGTGGGCTTGACCTCAGTGCAATATCTGTGAGCCAGCTCTCCCCCAGGGACTACAAGACAGAAATAGGGACTAAGAAGCTTTTACAGAACATGGTGTTATTTAATTTCAGGGCAGAAATGTTATAGAAACAATATATGGGAAAGGAATAAATGTGCTCCATGTGTGCTAAGTGTATCACCAACCCCATGGCATCCTGCAGGTAACTCTTCAGTCTGTATGTGCCCTTCAGACCTCAGCTCAAGGCTGGTGCTCTTCAACTCACTCCCCTTTGTCTAACTTCTTGACAAAATACGTAATTACTCCCCTTAAACAGGCTTTCAGGCTTGCTAGTCTGGGGGTTTGCAATAATTACTGCTAGCTGAGCCAGGAAACTGCTGTTACCTACCAGTTATGCTCTTGATGGCAGGTCTATGGTGAATGCTCCCTGTATGGATGGCATTTACCGCCCTTCAGTACTATAGTCCTTGACATTTGTGTACGTCTAAGGACTTATATCTGTCAATAAAAGTATACGTGCCTTTCTTCAGTTACTTTGTGATTTCCCTTCCCGTTTACAGTTTGGAACACAAATTTTACTACGTTTTAATTGAGGCTGATGTTTTTGTTCTTTTAAATGCTCTGCAGGATTGCACAGAACTGATTTTGAATCAGGCTGTGTTTTTCCTTTCTTTACCAGACTCTGAGAGGCCAGAGTTCAGGTACAGAAACTTTTTTTCAAGTTGAGAGGCAATTTAAATAGCATTGTTTAAATTGTAGAATGGCATGGTCCAATGCCTTTATGTTGGGGATGGAGAGCATAGCTGCCTTCGTAGCAGGTGTGGTGGGATGCCTTTTTGTGGCTGTGACAGTCCCCTTGGAGGACTTCTAGATGTTTCTTAGCCATCTCCAGTTGAGAGGGTGACAAATTTCATACCCAGACTTCAGCCAAAAAAAAAAAAAAAACCAAAAAAAAAAAACCCAACCCAGACCTGACAAACAGAGCTCTTCTCACATGGGAGATAGGCTGTAGGTGTTTCAAGGAGAAGAGAAAATCTGAGAGAGGTACTCAGCCTTTCCACGAAGCCTGGAAGAAAAAAGAGAAAGAATGGGATCTGATTAAATATGTTTCCCTTTGAAAAAATTCACCATTCAAACATAAAATGTAAAACAGGCTCAGTGATTGTCCCATGAAGTAACTCCCCACTCGCATGACTGAGTGTGAAGTGGCCTCTGTCAAACCACATCTGTGGGCACGGCGCAGGTTTGTATTCCTGCCTCCAGTATGTATTAACAGCTCTGTTGATGTGAATCAGCTCACACTGCTGCTGCATGCAAAAATACCATCGCTTCTCCCCACAAAAGCAGCTGTACAGCCAGAACGGAGTAAGAAACAGAAATATTGATCTTTTAAAAATTATGATTATTATTAATGCAAAGCTTGTAATTAGGGACGTGTCCAAATAACGTGTGAATAACTTCCTATCAGAGGGAAATGTTTCAACACACTCAAGCTCACATGTGCGTGGAGGGGTTCCGGCAAGGGCCGCAGAGTGGGTCCCCTCCCATTGCAACCCAAACAGCCCTATCAAGAGCCTTACCTTGTCTTAAAGCCGGTTATGTCTCCTGCTCCTGTGGCCCAGCTAGAAAGCTCTTGCACAACTTTATCCCTCTTACTATTACAAAGCATATTCTTGGGTTGTTTTCTAAGCCCAATTTGTTCCCATTTGTTGCCCAAGCGTTTTTCAGCTCTAAGTAGCTTGCTCACTTGTGTTCGCTGGTGTTTACCCCAGCTGACCCCCAAGTATTTATGGAGAACAATCCCATCCCTTCTCAGTCCTCTTTTCTTTAGGCTAAACGTATGGGGTGTTACCTGCCTTTCTATCTGGCTCAGCTCACCATTGAACTGCCTTGGCCAGCGCAGCCACTGGGGCTCCTGAGCGAACGTACTGCAATTATCTCATGCCCCTGCTCCTTTCCACGGGCAGGAGCCTGGCCAGGTTGTATTTCTCGTGCTGCACCATGAGCCCGGGCTGCCCGTAATGAACTGCAGGAGCTCAGCCAGAGGGGAGGTTATGAAATAATGCTGCTTTGGAAAACTGAGACGAAGAGCTCGTTTTCAGTTTTCATCGAGGAAAATCTGCACTCCTTAGTAAACTTCAGATTTTGTCTTTAAAATGATTGATTTTTACAGGAATCTTTTTTTCTATCAAAAATGTGGGGTTTATGGATTATTCCCAGCCAGTCCTTGCTGTGTTTCCCATCAATGATGCTGCTAATCTTGCTTGTGTGCTTTCTCTTTCCTTAATCCCTTAAGAATTTGTGTATTTTGGAGTAAAGTTCTTTATTCTCCCCTCTTCTCCCTCTGTCCTTTTCCTCACCTTCCAACAGATGGTAAACTGAAGATGTGGGTATACGGAGTATCGGCTGGCGGGTTCCTCATCATAGTTTTCCTGATTTTTACATCCTACCTGATGTGGTGAGTATGGCACATATTTTGTCCTTAAATAAAAGCTAGTTTGCTTTTGTTTAAACAATCCAAAATATATCACAACTCTCTGTGTTGCAGAGATTTAATCCTCAAGGCTTTAGGGAGGAAAGGAGCCTGGATTACTTAACTGCCTTTGTTTGGCCCCTACCTTAGAGTAATTTAAAACTCTCCAAAATTGTAAATGTTAACAGATGTAATCGTGAAGAAGTATGGTGGCCATGCAGGGAAAGAATTATTTTTGGTTATCAATAGGCCCTTATATTTATTCAGACTTCTGCTGGGATTAGAAAGGGCTTTTTATTGTATTCTTTAAAAAAAAGATAAAGTAAAACTGAAAAAAGGCAAGGAGGCTGATTGGATCGAGGAGCTGGCTTCCGCTCAAGGAAGGACTAAATAGAATAGGGGCATTCAGTTGGAAAATGATGTTTGACGTGGGAATACAATAGACATCTATGAAATCATGAATGGAGTAGAAGAGGGCGCTAGGGAATTTTTATTTCCCACAATATAAGAAGTAGGAGGCATCTGATGAAATGATCGTTTAAAATAAACAAAAGATTTTATTTTTCACACAGTGCATTATTACCTTGTGAGCTTACCGCTGCCGGGGACTGTGCATGCCAGGAAGATAAATGGATTCAAAGATGGCATAACAGTTCACAGGAGATTGGGTCTCTTGGTGTTAATTGTGGTTTTCTGGATGTACGCTCCAGCTCAGGAAATCCCTAAATAGGTTTTTGCAGTGAATACATCAGGTGCAAATACGTCCTATGTCTAAAGCTGCTGTTACCAGCCACTGTTAGAAATAAGGTACCCGGTGCACCGAAGCTCTGGTCTACACCAGTGCGTCGCTGGTGGTGGGCTTTACTGGTGGGGGAGATGTCTGCCCTCCTCCAAAGCAGCCGTCGCCCCGGGCTGGGGTGGTAGGGCTGGTTTGACAGAGCTAGCGTTGCACTCTCCAGTTCAAATATTTCGAAAGGCGCTGCCATTGATGTGTCTTGGGGGATACGAAGGGAGCAGTGGCCAGCAACCATGTGTCCTCCAGTGCCCACAGCTGTCCCTGAGGAGCACAGAGCTGGCCCAGGCTTTACGAACGTTAAATGGTGCAAGCTGCCCCAAACCCTGTCAGATCAGGGCAGGCAACTGGAGAGTCACAACCATGACCTGACAGCATCATTGCCCGCTTTCATCCAAAGTCACTTATTCTTTCTCTCAGTCCTTCTCTTCAATTAAAAGCTTAAATAACAGTGTTTGGATGCTGCTTAGGAGTTGCAGCTTCCTTATTTTCCAAGCCAGGTAGCTACCATTTCTCTGTGGCTTCACAGTGGAGAATACAGAGGATTTTTTAAATAATATTACATGGTTTTCTGTCACTTGAAGGCTGGTGAGGAAGTGTGTTTCTCAATAATAATTGTTGTTGCTTCGATACTGTGCCAAAGAAAAAATGAGAAGATCCCACTCCTAGACAGCTCAGGTTTCAATTTTTCTGCAAGGTGTTCCTTGTTTTGTCAGCTGTGAGAAGACACGGGAGACAAATATGCTTTATTTCCTCTCCAGATGAAGAGCACAGTTGGCTGCTCATTTTCGGCAGGCTGTGTGTCCGCACCACACTTGTAACAGCACTCAAGCACATCCATGTGGTTTTTCTTGGACGTAGTCACTGTGCTGCAGTGTCACCTAGTTGCAAAATGAAATAGCCGGCATGGGAAGTTGATTTTTTGTTGAAGTTTGGGTTTTGATGACGTTTCTGAGCTTATTGCAGTTTATAATTTTGTCTCCTGAAATATTGTTCTTTTTCTTGCAGCAAAAAAACAAAGGAGCATCAAAGCACTCCTCCACAGCAGAAGCCTCTAACCTTAGCCTATGACGGAGACATTGATATGTAACATAAAAAAGAAATCCAAATGTAGACATCAACTGCCTTAACTGCTTTCTTTTTTGGAACTCTCCGACTTCTCAGTTTTTTGAGGAATCTCTTGATGTGTAATATACCGGGCAGAACAGAAGTATTGCAAGCTTAAAATTTTGCCACCTCTTTATTAAAAAAAAAACCAATGGAGTCAAAGACCTTTTCTGAAGAGACCAGAAAATACTTCTCTTCCTGTTGAGCAATGGGAATAAAAAAAGAGAATTTACAGACATCAAAAGGAATTAGTAAAAAAAGAGGCATGACAATCCTGAGGAAAATGTGATGTTTACTGTAAATGACAAGTTTGACACAGCATCATTATGCACTATATTAGTGCAGGGTTCTTTATTCTTCACATGTTTCAACAATGAGTTTTCTAGTGTTTACATTTCGTTCAAAGACTTTAAAACCGGATCATGTATTTTGAGAAACACAAGCAAGAACGAATTGAAGTGTCTGAAGTTATCAGGTTTTTTAAAGTTTCTTCCTTCTTATCCTGTTTTCTAGTCTGGAATATGATTTTACTTCATTTCCACCTACAGGACAGAATAAGGATTGTTATGAAAAAGCATAGGTGGTTTCTTAACCAAGAATATTTTTTAAAGAGTTGAGTAGATAGGTGTTTTGATGAATGGCTAGAGGATTTGATTGTTTAAAAAGTATTTTAAATTAAATTAAACCATGTAGATACATTATGGCCAGTTTAAATTGTTATTCAGTTTAATTAATACAAACTCTGCTTTTGTATTTAAATTTTCTTATCTGAAATATTTATAAATTCTTTTTTTGAATTTAATTACCTGACCTCATTTAATATACATCAAACACAAATGCAGTTTGCAGAAGGTCTTGCTTTTTTAAATGTTTCGAAACCACTGAGAAGTTACATGTCGTAAACATCTGGGAACATTTGAAGAGGGTAAGTGTTTATAATAGTGTGTGTCGCAAGTAAGAAGGTGCCATCTTGTGGTATTGACTTGTATTTATAAGCAAATAAAATGCTAAAGAGAGTGAGAAATTTGCTTCTGGTATGTTGAATTAAATGTGTGTAAACAACATCCATTATTAGTCTTTTACTGTGTCTGAGATTGGGCTTGGATTTCAAACAATTCGGGCATATTTTGTGCTGTAGTGATTAGTGAAAGAAATATTGTAGACAAGTACAAGTTGAGAGAATAATTGCAGATCTGGAGAATGCTTGGTCTTATTTTTAGCTCAATGCTGCTGCTTATTCAAATAATTACAAGGAAGAGAAAAAAGAATTGTTACCGACCTAGCACCTGTGCGGTCCTTCTCAATCCGCAGTTACTTCAGAGCAGGTCATCACAAGAGAAGGGTATAACTAGGGCAGAAGGCAATGCTCATCTTGATATGTTGCCATTCACAGCTTTGTAAAGTTATTTGAATATTACGGTTTCATTGAAAAAATGATGGTGGTGTAGCTAGGTTTCCTTCCCCAGGTCAGGATCCCTCCCATTCAACGTTTCTCCCACAGCGTCAAATTGAGATGATACTGTGTCATCAAAGCAAGGTCAGGAATGCGCTTTCCTTTTCCTGCATTAAAAAAAAAAAAGGCTGATGGAATTGCGAGGGGAAATCGCCTCATTTCTGGCCCTGAAGATGTTCAGCTGGCCCTACCTTCTACCTTAGAGCTATAACTGTTTATGGTATAAAAAGCAGGATCTGGTGTTCCTCAGTAACATCGGGGGCCTGAATCTTTTTTTAACGGTGCCCTGTACTGAACCTTTGAGTAACATGTATAGAGTAAGAGTTACAAGGGGAATAATGGTCCAGTGCTATTAGGAAGAATACTGTCAGGTCTTAAATATATTTTGTCTGTGGGATGCGACGTGAGGAGAGTGGTACTCTCTGAATAATGAAGGAATGAACTCAATTAAGTGTGCTGTTCAAAAAGACATTGGAGTGGGAAAGTTGGTGTAATAATAACAAAAAATGACAGGTGGAACATGCGGTCGTTGCCCTCAACATCAGGGTAAATTACAGTCCAAACCGTGACGTCCAGCGCAGGAGCTGCGGGCGGTATGGTGAACTGCCTGGGGGAGAGAAGGAGCTCCAGGTACAACACCGCAACACGTCTGTTTATACTGAGCAGATGGATCTGGGCTTGTGCTTCAGTTTGGTGGCCTTCACGCAGTCCGTGTCCCCACTCGTGCAGAAGCACCTTCTGGCCAAAGCCCCACCGGGTCTCCAAAGGGACGGGACATGGCTGATGCTGGGGCTGGGCGCTGCCGCGCGGGGCCAAGGCACCACATCTGCTGCAGAGCTGTTGCAGTTTGGTGAAGCCCTTTCGGGAATGAGTGCACCTGTTTGTGAAATAAAATAAAGCAGAGGGGAAGGCTCATGAGGCTGCTGTTAGAGACAGCCGCTGCCGGCCATGTGCCGTGGCTGCCGGCGTGCACGTGAACCCTGTGTCTGCTCGTGGTCCAGCCTGGCCCAGTGCGCTGATTCAAATGTCACGATGTAATTGCATGTATTTGATAATTCGGGATTGAATTAAGCTGTAAAATTGAACCGAGGAGCTGGTGGCCCTGCAGGGCCCATGAGGCTCAGAATGCACCATAATGCAAAAAAAGGAACCAGTTGTTCAGACAGATACCAAGATTATTGCTGTTTGTAAGAGCCCTAGGTAAATGTGCTGGGAGGGGTGCCCAGCCTCCCGTGGGAGCACTGAAGAGCAATTCCTACCTTTCAGAGTCCAAAACGACTCATGACATGGAAGAGGGATTACTCCCAGTTCCTGCCTATCTGGGATTTCTAAACTTTATGCTGAAGTAGCTGGTGCTGACCCCTGCCGAAGGCAGGAGAGAGATCTTGGTCTGGTTCAGGAAGGTAACTCCTATAGCCTTAGCTAGGGCATCCCATTAAGACACGGATGTGATTGTGAGTAAAAGCATTTGAGGGTGAAGGGTTTGCCACATGCCCTGGCAACGTGTCTTGGTAGTTAATAACCAGATAATGAGAATCTGCATTTTGTCATCTTTTGTTCCAACCCTATTGAGTTCAGTGTCCGCTGCCACGCGTCTCCTACTTTGGTATTAGAGCTGTAAAATGTGCAACTCTTTTTTTTGGTTCTTTTTTTCTGTCTTCGGTGGCATTTTCTCTCATCCATTCAAAGACTCTCTAGCACACAACAGTAAAACAAAGTAACAACAACTGAAGTAAGACACCACAGAAAACAAATTGCTAAGAAGAACTGAAGTGTTGCGTACCTACATCATTCCTGCAGTCATTTCGGTTGTGCTCAGAAATGGGGTATTTGCATGCAGAGGTACCATGTCTGTGTGTATCGCTGTGCCTGAACACTTTGAACATCTGGGCTTTTGTATGAGGTAGACATTTTTCCTGCAGAAATATCCTGAAGTCTTGGGGAGGTTTCACGTTAGCAGGGCTGGATCCCAGCTGAAGTCCCCTCCAGCAACCTCACCAGAAGTGTCACTGAGCACCTGAACTTCGGGTGCTACAGTCAAGAACAAAGACTGTAATTTTCTTTGCTCTGAAAGCAGAGTAGTGTAAAAACTCCTACAAGACAGCGTAGCTAAAGACTTGTAAATTAGCTTGTGCTTGTATTCATATGTGTCAAAGAAGAGCCTAATTGCATAGCTTTCTTTGCTTAAGTGCACTTACATTCATGCCCAGTTTCATCAGGAAATGAAGAAAATATTATCTTGGGAAAAAAAAATCAGCTGAGCACTTCCAGTTTGGATTAGTCCTGGTAAGTATGAAGTTATCATTAGAGATCAGGTCATTTGCTGCTAACGTGGCATAGCTGGTTTCTTGAAAGACTTATTTTTTCTAAATATGTAACTTAATTTGCACATATGAATGGAAGGAGACATGTAGTTTAAATATAATTTGGGGGCTTGTTTTCAATTGGGAAGTAGTAATGCGGGAAAAAAAAAAGATCTGACTCAGGACCTCTTGAAAGATGGATCAGGATACCTGATGTATTAATGTGCCTTGGGACAGATTATGGTTCTGTCTGGTTTAAAATGTAATTTAAATGAATTAACTTCCACATCTTACAGCTGTGACATGCGCCTGTCCGGGACAGGCGCTTGATTTATATTATCTTTATGAAGATGTATCTCTGCGCATACTATTACTTGCCATCAATATGCATGCATTACTTGATTCCCGGAGCCACGACCTGACAGGTGACTCTGTTACTGTCATTTAAATGCTGACATGACTTGTGCCACCGGCCATTGTGACGTGACATGACCTGACTCGTAACACTTACGACGGGTCATGTCTCCTGCTTCTGTCAGACGTGGAAGCTAAAGAAAGTAGCGTGTAATTCCGTCTGGTCTTGCTGCATCTGTAGGGAAGGGCATCTGCCTGGGTCGCGGCAGTCACCCCTGCCCGGTGCAGCTGCACGGATGGGGATGTGATGAGTTAGGGGGTTGTTAAAGGTTGAGAAAGATGTGTGCAGCTGTGAGGTTGCCTTAAAGAAGTCTGCCTGACCCCTCAGGATAGCTAGGGCTAGAAACATGAGTGTAAAAACCAGAGGAATTCACCTGAACTACCAATAAATGGAATCGCACGCAGTCATTTGTTGTTCCTACCTGGTAGAGAGAAATGAGAGTCTCACTGTGAAGTCTGATAGCACGGGACCCCACCGTTCCTTGAAATGGGTTATTATTTGGCCACGCTTTGTGATTTGCTTACATTTACATTTGGGGAGAAAAGACTGGATTTGAATGAATAGTTATAATGGTAATCATGGCTATGGGATGCTTTCTGCACAATTTTTTAATGTATACCCTTTTACCTTCCAATCTAATACAGTTTATTCTTATTTTTAAATGTAAACATATGGTAAAATGGTCACATATGAACTGTCTGTGAAAAGAAGCCAGAAACCCCATCTTTGCACTTGTTGGTAATTATGCTCATTTACTTTGATTACATGCTTTGTTACAACAGTGTATAGAATGGGCTGTAGACGGGTACATGGGTTAAAGCAATTTATGGGATTTATCCTGTCTGTGAAGAGATGTTTTGATGGAATGACAAATCAGATTCAATTTCCTCTGATAAGGAAGAATGTTAATTTTCTTCTCTGCTTTATGAAAGTTCACCTGCATGTTATGAATATTGTGGTTGTTACATGCCAATATGACATTTGGAAAAAACCCTCTTCAAACATAATAACAGTGAAGAATCTTTCTACAGTATGTGGATGAAGTGGAGCACCAAGCATTAATTTTGCAGATGAGGAAGACAGCAGTTGTAAATTTTTTTTTTTTTTTTTTGGGTGCAATCTGGCTCCTACCCCATGTGAGCAGGCTTTGAGTAGCTTTTCTGCAAAAGTGTCGGAGTGGATGGATGCAGCCCAGAAATGGTGTTTCCGGGCTGCTGCCATTGCCCAGTAATCACAACACTGCACAGCAGCAGGATGAGGCTAAGGAGTGATGTGATGTTTCCTCTCTCCATTGCAACTATCCTTTGGTAGCTGCGTTCTGAAACTCGTGTTTCGCAGGATTTAATGTGCATGTAGAG